TGTATATGGAGATGTATAATACATATATATCATTTTGGTTGAAAAAATATATCTTTAATGAGAGAGTGTAAGTTACACCCATTTTAGTTAAAAAAAATATAAATATTTATATAAATTTACATCTTTTATATCTTCAAAAGAAAAAAAGAAACTAAACTAAAATATTACATTGAACGTTTAAAAAGGTTAAAAATGTAGCCTTTTAGTATTATGGTCTAATGATATTCATCTTCACTGGTACGTGAGAGGTCTTAGATTCGATTCTTGCCAAAAGCGAATTTGAACTATGTTATTAAGCCCATTGTGAGGCTTAGCCCACTCTCCCACCCCCTAAGTGTAAATAATGTTGTTTGTTCAAAAATAAAACTGTATGATTGCAACTTGAGTAGCCTAGAAAACCTATACCTCCGCGGTAACCAATTATCCGGATCAATCCCCCAAGAGATGGAGAATCTAATGAAGTTGACAACACTTGACTTGGCTACTAACCGATTTTCTGGTTATTTGCCTTGAGATATTTGTAGAGGTGGACTGCTACAAAGGTTTAGTGCAGAAAACAACGAATTTTCAGGTCCAATCCCAAAAAGCTTGAAAGGTTGCAAGAGCTTGTCAGAGTCCGTCTTGATGGGAACCAATTTACAAGAAATATATCTGTAGACGCAATTTACAAGCAATATATCTGAAGACTTTGGCGTCTATCCGAATCTTCACTTTGTAGACCTAAGGCACAACAACTTATATGGCAAAATCTCAGACATCTGGGGATAGTGTCCAAACGTAACAGCCCTACGGATTGCGGGGAACAACCTTACTGGGAGCATACCATCTGAGATTGTCAATGCAACTAAAATTCAGGAACTCGATTTTCCTTCGAATCATCTGGTTGGGGTGGTTCCCAAGGATTTGGGGAGATTGACTTCTATGGTGAATCTAAAGTTGAATGGGAATCAACTTTTTGGTTCTATACCCTCAGAATTTGGAGCATTCGCTGAACTCGAACATCTTGTCGTGTCCACCAAGAAGTTGAATGGCTCAATTCCAAGCATTTTTTGTGACTTGGTCCATTTATACCACTTGAATTTGAGCAACAACAATTTCAGTCAAGAAATTCCACTTCAGTTGGGCAAGTTATTTCACCTGTCACAGTTAGATTTGAGTCATAACTCACTTGACGGCAACATACCATCAGAAATTAGCAAAATGCAGAGATTGGAGCAGCTGAATCTTTCCCACAATAATCTTTCCGGTCTCATTCCTACAACGTTTGATGGAATGTGCAGCTTGTTGTACATAGACGTATCCTACAATCACTTGCAAGGTCCCATCCCCAACAACAAAGCATTTCAAGATGCTCACAGCTTTGAAGGGAATGTAGGACTACAATCCTGCAATAAGCATGTCTCAAAAAGAAAAAACAATAGAAAACTCGTGTTTGCAATCGTTTTCCCTATCTTGGGAGCAGTTTTACTTAATTTCCTTGCAATTGTCTTCATCAAAACAGGAGCAGCCTCTCCATAAATGGGGGTAAGGCTAGCCGACATTCACCTCTCCCAGACCCTGCGTAAAGCTGGAGCCTTGTGCACTGGGTACGACCTTTTTTTGTCTTCATCAAAACAAGAAGAAAGAAAGAGCCGGGAACATAAAAGAGTGATATCCATTGATAGGAGCATATTTATCCGACTTTGTTAGCTTGTTTCTTTGCATTTAGTGAGTTAGTTTTTGTTTATTATAGTGATTTAAGCTATTTTCGTGTGTTTGTAGGTCCAAATGGCAAAAGTGGCAACAAAAGGCAATTTGAAGGATTTTAAAGCAGTTTTGGATTTGGAATAGATAGCATGCGTATGGAGCATAATGGATGGACCTTTTTGAAGTTTAAAGAAGCTAAAAATGTGCTACAAATCTGGAAGAATTAATTCAAGATTTGGAAGATAAGGAATCAGCTAAAAGGAAGGAACATTATCCAACCTTATCCTATCCAAACTAACCTTATTTATCCTACCTTAATTCCAGCTGCAAGGGGGGAATCAATTTTACATTAAATCACCTAAATATTTGGTTCTAGAAGCCCTATCCTCTGCCTAAATTGGTGCCGCACCACCCTTTCTAGAAGCCTAGAAACCTACTGTGTATCCTATTCCCTTTCCTCCAAGGATTGTGTTATCCTTTTCCTCTACAAATTATTGCTGTGCAATCCTTTTCCCTTCAGAAATTGTGCCGAACCCTAGCCCTATAAATACACATCTTTGCCGCACCATTCAAAACACCACACACGAGAGAAATTCAGAGAGAAAAATAAAAAGAGTGCCGCAGGTTTTTGAGAGTTTTTAGAGATTTGTGCCGTGCTTGCAAGGAGAAGAAGGACTTGTGTCGTGACCCTGCAGCCAATGATTGTGCCAAATCTGCCATTGGAGTGCTGGAGCGTTTATGGGTTCTTTCTATCCTTAGTTTTAGTCTAATGTTTATTTTAATTTGGTCTTCAATTATGATGAACATGTGGAACTAATTTCGTTTTAGTTAGAGGTGAATTCAAAGCTATGAACATAAATGTGATACGAATTGATTACATCCATTTATTGTTTCATAAATCGTGAATACAATTTATTTATCTGTTTTATGGAGAACTTGTTCTTGTGTGTTGATTAAGGATGCATACTTAGTTTGCATACAAAGATTTGATGCTAAAATATGAGGGAATTTCATCTAGTCGTTATGAACTTATATTTACAGGTAAATTCTTGGCAGGAGTATCATGCAGTTTATAGTTACGAATGCCTTATCATTGCTTATGATTTTTATAGAACTTAATGATCTTTAATATGTATCTCTATCATGTTGTTCATATAGGGAACTTGATAAGAATAATTTGATTGTGTCGCTGAGTCCAATTCAATGAATTTAGGAAACTCTGAAAGTTAATTTATGCTTCTCACGATTAATTTGGGGCATTGTCATTCATGGTTTATAGGAATAATAAATGGAAATTGATTTGTATGCATATGTGTCATGTGTGAAGAAAGACCCTCTAGCTACCCTTACACCCCTAAAAACATCCAATTTCGTATTACCTTTAGTTTGTTTATGCAAGTACTTAGGTTTACTTTAAATTCATCAAAACAACCCCCATTTAGTACTCTGAGTCTTTTTAGTTTAATTTTCGTCCAAATTTGGACCCTTTAGTTCTTGTTTTGAGTCAATTTAACTTAGTTTTGTGTTATTTGAGTCAGTTTAGCTTGTTTTGAGTTGTTTGAGTCTAGTTTTAAGTTTTTAGGTTTAATTTGTGTTGATTAGCATCCCTAACTAATCACTGGCTTAGAACGATCCCTACTTATGCGTACTATAACTATTTTAATAGGGTTTAATTTGTGTGTTAGTTTTTACCATATCATCCACAATGAATTTTTTTCAATCTCTCTTTTTTATGGAAAAAAATTGTATTGGGAGATCATAAGAGCAACCAATGGTTTTGATTCCATATTTTGCATTGGGAAGGGAGGATCTGGAAGTGTCTACAAGGCAACGCTACCATCAGGCATCATAGTTGCCGTGAAGAAACTCCATCAAAAACTTGACGGCGAGGGGACATCGCAAAAGGAGTTCCACAATGAAATAAGTGCACTAATCAATATACGACATCGAAACATTGTGAAATTTTGTGGCTTTTGCTCAAATTCACAGCACCCATTTCTGGTCTATGAATATCTAGAAAAGGGTAGTCTGGCTTCAATCTTGAGCAAAGAAGACGAAGCAAAAGAATTGGATTGGAGTAGGAGGGTGAGAATTGTAAAAGGCGTAGCTCTTGCACTGTCTTACCTGCATCATGATTGTGTGCCGCCAATTGTACACCGAGACATATCAAGCAGCAACATTTTGATGGATTACGACTACAAGCCTTGTGTTTCAGACTTCGGCACTACTAAGCTTTTGAATCCAGACTGGAGCTGCCTTGCAGGCACATACAGATATGTAGCACCAGGTAAAGTAAAACAATTAAAATATATAATGTTGAATCTGGTGATATAAAGTTAAAACATATGCCAATGGCTTGCTTTCCCTTAATTTTTATCCAGAGTTGGCCTACACAAGGAAGGTAACTGAGAAATGTGACGTTTATAGCTTCAGAGTGTTGGCACTGGAAGTCATCATGGGAAAGCGACTACTAATCTCATTCGTGTTTTTTTGGTGGAAAGGAATCTGGTTTTCTATCAATAATCCTACTTAATAATTGAGCAACAACTAATCTCATTTGTGACATAAACTTAAAGACTAATTAGTATCATAATTACCATTCCTATTTTTAAAATCTCATTCATGACATAAACCTAAAGACTAATTAGTAACATAATTAGCATTCCTATTTTTAAAACCAAATTATGCGTAGGCAAACCATTAAAGTCAAGTTTGTTTGAAAAATCAGTTGGATACATTGTTTCAAGATTTTCATTTGCAGAATACAAAAAATCATAACATAAAAGCTATCTCTCAACCCATGCCAAAAAGTTGCCAATCCAGATTATTCACAATTTTCACAGCAACGCTCTGATCAAAGATTCTAAGAAGGAACATAGCTAATAAGCAGTCATAACTATCAAACTCACAGATGTAATAACTATCAAAATCATAGATGCAATAACTATCAAACTCATAGAAATATAAACACACATTCCATTACATTTCCAGTAAACTAAATACTCAAGAGCTCTTTTTGACATTGCATTGTAATCCCTTTGTAAACCAGAAAAGCAATAACCATATTTCCAAAAAAATACTTTAGACACACAAATAGATAATCAGGTAAAAATACTATCCATTGGTTTAACATATGTTTTCCACACCGCTGAGACTATGAATTATGGCTATTGTCCATTTCATGCAAAATCAAAGAAATAAGATCTGTTATTATAGAAAATCAATTATGTGGACAGGCAATTGAAGACTGATTTAACCGAAGGCTGTTCTAGTGTTTACAGCCACTTCTAGTATAATTTAGTTTGACATTGATATTCAAAATTTTCATCCAATAAATTGGCAAGCGGTGCTGAATATTAAATTACGAAAACAATTTTATGTACTGGGCAACTGTGCCTTGAAGCTCAGAAATACAAAATACACATAGCCAAAAGCTCAATAAAAAGCAAGGAACCGATAACTCTAAGGAAAAGCTACAAAGAAAGCCATTGGGTTACCATAGTCGAGTGGTCTCATTTACCTTGAAATGGGGGTACCGCCCAAGCTTGAGTTTTCATGCCTTGAAAATTCAAAAAAGGATATGTTTCGATCCCCAGATAGATGCATTCTATTTAAGAAAAATACATGGAAATATAATGAAGTTCAGAAATCCAACCATGTCGGTTAAATTCCTTGTGCCAGGTTGCTCAAGGATGACCTCCTAGTACTTACACTTCTAAGTGAGATTTGACTTGGTTTCACAATTCCGACTCCTGCGTATTTTGGTACACCATTTTGCACAGCCCTAAGATCCTGTATTACAATTTCAATTTTGCTTACGCATGCATGCACTACAACAGTAGTACAGTGATGTAAAACAAAGACTCTGACTTATCACTTGCAGCCATGTTTCCAATTGCCGCATCTCTTTGTTTTATTAATTTTTCTTTTATAATCAAACATAAATCACAGATACTTCAAAAACCAGAAAGAGAAAAAGAGAAATTAGAAAATCATATTGAAAACCCCTACCAAAGCACGTTAATAATCTAACTAATGAATGCGGTTCGAGAAACAAACCCCTGTTCGAGTGTGACTGATCAGATCCCGCACTTGCATTGCTGTTTCCACACAGCACTCTGTACACAAAATCCCCCAAAAAATAAATACATAGTCCACACACAAATCAACCAACAAATAAGAAAAAAAATCATCTTTTTCAATGACTTTCTTAAATGGGGAACAACCTGCTAATACCCTTCATGGCCAAAGCACAAAGAATAATTCATATATGTTTTTCAATTTTCAAATCACAAAGTGGAATACAAATCTTAAAACTTTTAAGCCAAAAACAGATGCACTATTTTTCCAGAGACTCAAAAAAAAAAAAAGAAAAAGAAAAGAAAGCAAGTGCAAGCACAAATCTTGTGAAATAATTAGGAATATTCTATAAATAATCATATGCAAATCATTACCCGATTAATCACCAAAAATATCAAAACAGAAATCCATAGCCAGAAATTGAAAGACATATCATATTATCAGTTCAAGAATAAGAAAACACAATTCATAACAAAGCAAGCCAATAAACAAAACCCACGAAGAAAATCTCAAAATTCCAAAACCTCAAAAGGATTATGAAAACAAAGACGCACTCAGAACTAAGAGCCCAGTGGAAGCTCTGTTTACACAAAAGCTATAACCAAAATCACAAACTTAAATTTGTCGGACCCAAAAAATTTTTACATACACAAATGTAAAATTTGGATTTTTACATGGTTGCTTTCGTTTTTAACAATGTTTCGGTTGCAAGTATATGGACGGTGGTCAAAATCTTGGCTTCAAATTTTGAATTTGTAGGGATTGGTGTCATTACATACAACAACAACAACAACAACAAAGCCTTTTCCCACTAAGTGGGGTCGGCTATATGAATCCTAGAACGCCATTGCGCTCGGTTTTGTGTCATGTCCTCCGTTAGATCCAAGTAATCAAGTCTTTTCTTAGGGTCTCTTCCAAAGTTTTCCTAGGTCTTCCTCTACCCCTTCGGCCCTGAACTTCTGTCCCGTAGTCACATTTTCGAACCGGAGCGTCAGTAGGCCTTCTTTGCACATGTCCAAACCACCGGAACCGATTTTCTCTCATATTTCCTTCAATTTTGGCTACTCCTACTTTACCTTGGATATCCTCATTCCCAATCTTATCCTTTCTCGTGTGCCCATACATCCCACGAAGCATCCTCATCTCCGCTACACCCATTTTGTGTACGTGTTGATGCTTCACCGCCCAACATTCTGTGCCATACAACATCGTTGGCCTTATTGCCGTCCTATAAAATTTTCCCTTGAGCTTCAGTGGCCTACGACGATCACACAACACGTCGGATACACTCTTACACTTCATCCATCCAACTTGTATTCTATGGTTGAGATCTCCATCTAATTCTCCGTTCTCTTACAAGATAGATCCTAGGTAGCGAAAACGGTCACTTTTGTGATCTTCGCTAGATTGCTCCGGTCATTAGTGTGGATAAGTATATAAATGGATAGAGATAGGAAAGCAAACACAAGATGTACGTGATTCACCCAGATTGGCTACGTCCACGGAATAGAGGAGTTCTCATTAATTGTGAAGGGTTTACACAAGTACATAGGTTCAAGCTCTCCTTTAGGGAGTACAAGTGAATGATTTAGTACAAATGACATTAGGAAATATTGTGGGAGTGTGGTATCGGCTTGACTTTCCTTATCTGTCTCATAGGTAGATGTGGAATCTTCTCTGGAAGTACTCTTCCTCCATCCAGGGGTGGTATCTGTAACTGGTGGAGATGCACAAGGTAATGTATCAATGTCACTTGAAGCTTACTTGTAGTTTCAGGCTTGGTCAAGCGTGATACAAACCATGTAGTAGGAGTTCCCCAAGTCGCCGAGCTAGGGGATCTGCTGAAAGAGGTAACAGACAAGGTAAGCAATCAGAGCTCCGGCTGATTGTTCACATTCTCCCTATCTTGCAGGCAGCATGAAGGATAAATAGAAGAAAAATGAGAAGAGATGATATGAGATACTTTTGCTTTTGAAGAAGTAACTTTCCACAGGCTTATTCTTGAACTGGGCTGGAGGGTTTTCTGGTTTCCTCCAAAGTATAAGGCCGACTGAAGAATTTGAGGGTCAAAACAAGTCCATCAAATCTAGAGTACGTTCGACCCTGCTGATATGGGATACTTTTGCTTTTGACAGAGTAGTGGATGTATCGGCACGTGTGCTGTTACGCTTGTCTCCACATGCTTCATTGTATCCTTCTCACTTGCCCTATCTGTTTCTCAGGCAGATGCGGTATCTTCCTTGGAAGCATAAGATGTTGAAGATGAGTACTCGAGAGCAATGCCAGGGTAAGGGGTTCCAGGCAGTCAGTTCCTGGCTGGAAGCTTGATTCCAAGTGCTGACTGATTGCTCTCTTTCTCCTTGTCTTGCAGGTAAGAACAAGGCCAAAGGAAAAGACAGGGAAAAAGCATGATATGGGATACTCTTGCTTTTAACCCTGATGATATGAGATATTCTTGCTCTAGTATAGCTTGTTTACAGAGGTATTATCGGGGGGAAAGAAAGCTGAATATTTCGAAAGGCTTCGTTGGGAGTGCCCTCTCAGATAAGAGGAAGGGTTGAGCATTTTTGCAGGTCTACCTGTCCGTTGGGGATGGAGGTCGACATATATAGGAGTCTCCCTAACATCAAGTAATAATGCTATTCCTTTACCCTGCTTGGTCATAGCACGGTAGTGGGAGCTGCCAGCTTCACAAGTTTTTAACTCTGTCAGAGCACTTTGAAAAAGTGGTCTGTGGTATCTGGAAAGCTGATGTTGCGTGTGAAGATTACAGACAAGCTTTATCCAAGGAGATCCGGCTCTTGAAGTTGGGAAAGTGGTGCCTCTTCGGTTTTTCGAACAAGCAATCCTGTCGGGGATCTGGCTCTCGAGATTCGGAGAACGATGCCTCTTCGATTTTTGAGAAAGCAATCATGCTGGGGGTCTGGCTCTCGAGATTCGGAGAGCGGTGTCTTCGATTTTTGAGAAAGTAATCATGTTGGGAGTTGGGAGTGTTTTCTCGAATATGAGTAAAGGTTGGGCATGTTTGCTAGTCTACCTTGCCACGAAGCACAGAGGTTGACACACAGGGACTTTCCAATTATCCAGCAGTGGTACTGTTCCTTTACCCTCTCTTCGATTTTTGAGAAAGTAATCATGTTAGGAGTCTGGCCCTCGAGATTCGGAGGGCGGTGCCTCTTCGATTTTGGAGCAAGCAATCTTGTTGGGGGTGTTTTCTCGAATGTGAGTAAAGGTTGGGCATGTTTGCTAGTCTACCTTGCCACGAAGCACAGAGGATGACACACAGGGACTTTCAAATTATCCAGCAGTGGTACTGTTCCTTTACCCTCTCTTCGATTTTTGAGAAAGTAATCATGTTGGGAGTCTGGCTCTCGAGATTCGGAGGGCGATGCCTCTTCGATTTTGGGGCAAGCAATCTTGTTGGGAGTGTTTTCTCGAATGTGAGTAAAGGTTGGGCATGTTTGCTAGTCTACCTTGCCATGAAGCACAGAGGTTGACACACCGGGACTTTCCAATTATCCAGCAGTGGTACTGTTCCTTTACCCTTGTGGGTAATAATATGGTAGCTAGGCCGTCAAAATTTATGTGTCTAAACTTTGTTAGTGTTGTTTCTTTGCTATTCTTTTACCCTTCTTGGTCAGAGCGATGTAGTGAGAGTTGCAAGCTTCATGTGTCTCGACTTTGTCAGAGAACTTTGGCAAAGTTATATGTAGTACCCATGAGCTACTGTTGCGTGTGGGAAGTGGGTGATTGAACAGTACGATTCATGTGCTTTCTACTTCGCCAGAAATCTTCGACAGAATGCCCATAATTTCCGCAAAGCTGAGTGTGCGTGTGACAGGTGCTGACAAGGCTGGAAAAGTAGTCTCAACTTTGTCAGAGAACTTTGGCAAAGTTATATGTGGTACCCATGAGCTACTGTTGCGTGTGGGAAGTGGGTGATTGAACAGTACGATTCATGTGCTTTCTACTTCGCCAGAAATCTTCGACAGAATGCCCATAATTTCCGCAAAGCTGAGTGTGCGTGTGACAGGTGCTGACAAGGCTGGAAAAGTAGGTGCCTCTTCGATTTCTGAGATCGACCCTCGTGGTCTCTGAGCAGCCCAGCTTTTGAGAAAGCAAACCTCTTCAATTTCTGAGATCGGCCCTCGTGGTCTCTGAGCAGCCCAGCTTTTGAGAAAGCAAACCTCTTCGATTTCTGAGATCGGCCCTCGTGGTCTCTGAGCAGCCCAGCTTTTGAGAAAGCAAACCTCTTCGATTTCTGAGATCGGCCTTCGTGGTCTTTGAGCAGCCCAGCTTCTGAGAAAGCAAACGCCTCTTCGATTTCTGAGATCGACCCTCGTGGTCTCTGAGCAGCCCAGCTTTTGAGAAAGCAAACGCCTCTTCGATTTCTGAAGCTTCGTCGAGTGCAGATTTTTATAGAGGCTGACATTAAGTTCCAAAGCACACTTGAATATCCACCAGTAGAAGCTCCATTCTTGCACTTCTAAGATCTTGATTTGTCTGACCTCTTCTCTTTTCTACACCTTTGAAAATGTCTGGCCCCTCCGACCGTCGTTTTGACTTGAACCTTGTTGAAGAGGCAGCCCCGCCTTCTCCAGACAACATATGGCGCCCATCCTTCGTCTCCCCTACTGGTCCTCTTACCGTTGGGGATTCCGTGATGAAGAATGATATGACCGCTGCGGTAGTGGCCAGGAACCTTCTCACTCCCAAAGATAACAGACTACTTTCCAAACGGTCTGATGAGTTGGCTGTTAAGGATTCTCTGGATCTTAGTGTTCAGTGTGCAGGTTCTGTGTCTAATATGGCCCAACGCCTATTTGCTCGAACCCGCCAAGTTGAATCATTGGCGGCTGAAGTGATGAGTCTCAAACAGGAGATTAGAGGGCTCAAGCATGAGAATAAACAGTTGCACCGGCTCGCCCATGACTATGCTACAAACATGAAGAGGAAGCTTGACCAGATGAAGGAATCTGATGGTCAGGTTTTACTTGATCATCAGAGATTTGTGGGTTTGTTCCAAAGGCATTTATTGCCTTCGTCTTCTGGGGCTGTACCGCGTAATGAAGCTCCAAATGATCAACCTCTGATGCCTCCTCCTTCTAGGGTTCTGTCCAGTACTGAGGCTCCGAATGATCCCCCTCCGGTGCCTTCTCTTTCTGGGGCTCTACCGACTGCCGAGACTTCTCCTAAGCAACCTTTGTGAAGGCTCCCTCTTGTTTGTTTATTTTGACTCAAGTATATGTACATATTTGTAATTTATCGGGGATATCAATAAATAAGCTTTCCTTCATTTCAACTTATTGTGTTAAATCACCAAAGCCTTCTTCGCTAAGTTCTTTGAATTTTCTTTTGTTGAAGCTTGTATGTTGGAGCTTTGTGAGTGGAGCATGTAGGTTGAGGTAGTGTTCCCTTAATTTCCCGAGCGAGGACAACTTCTCGGTTGGAGACTTGGAAAATCCAAGTCACTGAGTGGGATCGGCTATATGAATCTTAGAACGCCATTGTGTTCTGTCCTGTGTCATGTCCTCCGTTAGATCCAAGTACTCTAAGTCTTTTCTTAGGGTCTCTCTCAAAGTTTTCCTGGGTCTTCCTCTACCCCTTCGGCCCTGAACCTCTGTCCCATAGTCGCATCTTCTAATTGGAGCGTCAGTAGGCCTTCTTTGCACATGTCCAAACCACCGTAACCGATTTTCTCTCATCTTTCCTTCAATTTCGGCTACTCCTACTTTACCCTGGATATCCTCATTCCTAATCTTATCCTTTCTCGTGTGCCCACACATCCAACGAAGCATCCTCATCTCCGCTACACCCATTTTGTGTACGTGTTGATGCTTCACCGCCCAACATTCTGTGCCATACAGCATCGCCGGCCTTATTGCCGTCCTATAAAATTTTCCCTTGAGCTTCAGTGGCATACGGCAAAATTTGGATACTCCAGTGGTAGATCAGGCTACAAATTCAAAATTCAAAACAGAAAAATCCAAATTAAACACAATTCAAAAGCGATTTAATAATTACCAACCACAAATCCCCCATGCATGTAATAAAAAATAGAAATTACACATAAAAATACAGAAATAAGAAAAGGGTACCACATATTTTCATGTCGCTGCTGCTCTTCACAACCCACAAAATTCGAGCCGAAAGATGGTGGTGGCCGTGGTTCCGTGAGAGAGAGAGAGAGTTCAAGACGCAGGCTCTGAAATGTTGACTGGTGTTGCAGTGCGATTCTTGAGAGAGAAGTCGAGAGTGGGTGAACTGGTGTCGCGATGATCTGGATGAACTGGAAGTGTCGAGAAGAATGCTGCTGCACTTGTAGCAAGGCAAACAGAGGCAAGATCTGAAATATTAAAAAATAATCAAGGGCAAAATTGGAAGAACACTATTCACCGAAAAAGTATGCTAATGCCTTATCTTCACCCTCACTTTTTAATGAAAATTTTAATTACAAATTTGCTCATTTGTAAAATGATTAATAAGGGCCAAAGTTACTCTCTTTTGTGTTATTTTTTTTTTATAAAAAAATAAAAGTTTAGGCGTGATAACTCTCACGCTCTGTTTAGACAATTTGTCTCTCTTAAACCCTAATTCATCCTTCACATCTCTTTTCATTCAAAGAATTCAAAATCATTCAAAGAAAGCAAAAAGAATGAACTTAGAAGATGGCCTTTATGTGGAAGAAGTAAAGGATTATGTGTAGGTCGTGGCCATCCTACAATTGAATATGCATAGCTCTATTGCCGTGATTTTATATTTAACTTTTGCCTACAATATTATGATTAGTATTAGGTTAGAGTACAATTTGTTTCACGTTTTCATATATGTATTCCTGAAATTTGTATTTTAATTTTCATATGCTTTTATATTTAACTTTCACGTTTTCATGGTTGTTCCATGTTTATATGATTTTCTATTTAACTTCCACATTTTCATATGCGTATTCTTGAAATTTGTTTTGAAAAATAAACAAAAGCTATTCTAATCATATTTGTACATGTCTTTCTTTGCAGCAGGTAGATGAATCTGGTAGTAATTCAACATCTACACAAATTGGAAAAAACATAGTGAACCATCGTGTTTAGAATAGGCTACTCTATACATTGCTCGTATACAACAATTCAAATCCATTATAGGATCTGCTATCATAACTAGAGAGATCGTGGAGTTTGACAAAAATCGAAGTTGGTGCAGTGCTTGTCCAAAACTTTTAATTTTCTCTTTTTTGATTGGTCTCCATTATAAGTTTTGCTATCATAACCTCACTCGCATGCGTTCCTTACGAAAATTTCCCATTTAAAGCTGTTTCCATCATCATCTAGCATAATCCTAGGGGTTTGGGCTTGAGAGATGGTTTACTTGAGTAAGCTCCTCCATTTTCAATCCCAACCAAATGTGTACATCAGGCTGAAGATTGGGTTCTCCTCCATTTTCAATCCCAACCAAATGTGTACATCAGGCTGAAGATTGGGTTATGGTGGGTGGGGAAACAACTTTTTAATTTTTTTAACTTTTTATAGTGGGTGTAAATATAACGTAGATGGGAAAATAAGATAATAAGGTGGATCTAGCAGCTCTCCAAAGTTTTAGGGAAAATGAGTGTTTTTTTTATAAGTATAATGATATATATTACATTAATGGGAGGGGAAGTTCGGCTAAGCCACACAATGAGCAACCTAATTTGGTATTGAATTCGACATCTATGATATTCAAACATAAGACCGCTCACTTATAAGTGTAGAGGAATGCCATCAAACTATAGTACTAAGTTTTAGTATATATATAATTACCACCTTTTATGAAATAGTCATATCTCACGTATTGGTTCTTATACAGACTATAATTTAAACTAAATTAATCAAAATTATGAGAAAGTTAATTCAAATTTGAGTGTAGAAAGAGAAATACACTGTTCTAACTAGCTTAGTTTTTATTTTATTTTTTTCTTTAACAAACTGTAGCTAGTGGACTAAAACTTGTGCTCGCTGTTTAGAGTGTTAATCCTATTGGGAAGCTCTGGAATTTAATTTGTTACTTTTATGGGTAAATTACATAGTAGTCCCTCATGTTTGAGGTCTATTACAATCTTATACAACATCTTTAAAACATTTCACTTTCATACCTCAAGTACTATTTTATTTCAATTTCATACAACCGTTAAAAATTTTGTTAAGTTAACCGTTAAATGATGACGTGGCAAATATGAGGTCCCCATTTGTACTGATATGGCTGACACATTTATGCCACGTGGATAAACACTTAATAAAAATTTAAAATATTAGAATAATTAATTAAAGAAAAATATAAATTTATAAAAAAAATAAAAAAAAATAAAAAACCCAAAAGTCCTATTCGTCTTCCCCACCCCTTCCCCCCACCAGAGCCCATCCCCCCAACACCCACCCCCTTCTCCCATCCCCCATCACCCGAGCCTCCCCCGTAACCTTCAATCTCCATCTTGCTCCAAATCCGTCAATCTCCATCCCAGAAGCCAAAAACTGGAAAAGTTACAAATTTTCCCACACTCAACAGAACACATAGAAATCCAAACATTTCCTACCCATTTTCTCTCAATTTCCCTCTAACCAAACACACCATGTTGTCTTTCGAAAGAATATGCAAACCATTCCCATTCAATTTCAAATCCTCAAAAACCCAGCAAAATTAAAAAACCAAAAAACTAAAATATCCAAAAATTTCCCCTCACCCTCTATCATTTTCTCAGCAACCAAACACAACCCAGAATCCCAATTAAAAAAAAAAAAAAAACCTGAATCATACAAACCCATTTAGTTGAAACCCATAAAAAAAATAGAAAGCAAATTCAAGAACAATGGGAAAATTATCAGCCACTGGAACGCAAAATCAGAAGCATAATCGATTTGATTCAACTCGGAATCTGACTGAGCAAGCCCACCGTGGTCCATTGGCAGCTATTTGGCGGAGCTAAGGTTGCTCGGTGCGGTGTTTGATGCGCTCAGGGATAGACTGGGCGAAGACCACTTGGAGAGGTGGACCAGCTATTCCAGCTCTTGCTCTGCGAGTCCAATGACTCTTCCCCTTATTCGAACCGGACCACCCTTTAAAACCTTCAGTGCTCGAGTTCGACCCGACCCACGAACCCCCATTGTGACGAAGCTTCAATCCACTCCCAGATCTCTCAGTGCTCGAGCTCGATGACTGAGCTTCCCTAGTTGCTCGTTACGAGAATGGAAGAGGGTTTACTGCAATTTAGGTTTTTACGAGCTTGAATTGTAGAGAGAGAATATTAGGGTTTTTAGCTTGAATCGCAGAGAGAGGGGGAAGCTTTAGGTTAGGGAGACTGAATTTAAGGTTTTTACAAGCTTGAATTGCAGAGAGAAAAGATTGACTTGCAGAGAATTGGGTGTGATTTTGAGGGTTTTGGATTAGAGGACAAGGGTGCATATGTGGTTTTATGGGTGAATGCGGGGGAACAGATGGAAGTGGAAGGAATTAGGGTCCATATGTGGTTTTGGTAGTGAAGGGAGGGGGATGGATGGAAGGGGAACCGACAGAGGGGGAAGTTGAGGTTTTGGTGGTGAAAGGAGGGGTCGAACGGAGGGAGGTGAGTTGGGGGGGGGGGAGATGGGTTCTGGGAGGGAGAAGAGGCGTATGGAGGGGTTGCGGGGAAGGTGGGGGGTGGGTTCTGCGTTTTTCATTTTTTTTTGTTGAGAAGATTTAGATTTTAAAAAAAATTATTATTTTTTGCCACGTGGCACACAGGTGGCAGCCACGTGGTACAAATGTGGCAGCCACGTCAGCTCTTAACGGATCAATGGATGGAAAATGTAACGGAGGTACTATATTGAAATAAAATAGTAGGTGAGGTACGAAAGTGAAATGTTTTAAAGATGTTGTATGAATTTGTAATATACCTCAAACCTGAGAGAGTATTATGTAATTTACCCTACTTTTATTTGATCTCAAATAGGAAATAGTTTCAGCCAATTATACGTATAGACTTGCCCAACCATTTGTATAGGGCCATTAGATTATAATCAGCCCAAACAAAAGAGAAAGAAGCCACACTTTCTCGCTAAACCTACGAACCAACAAGGAGAAATCTGTGTTCTTCGTATCATCTACCTTTCCTTTTCATCTATTACATAAATATCTTCTTTCATTGCTGACTAGTGAAGGCAATCTAAAGAGGAGGTGGCGGATTTTAAGAAAACGATGGAAAGCTTAAGCAGAAGGTGGAGGATTTGGGAGTGTGGTGGAGAGTCTATGGCTGCAGGTGGCACAACCAGTGTATATAGCTGAGTAATCTTAAGCTATGAAGCGGGTGGTGGAAGGTCTAGGTTTAGGTTCCAATCATGACATATTTTCCTATAAATAGATGCGATTTGAGTAGGAATTTTTAAAGCAAAATTCGTTCAGTTTATTTTACAAATAGAGAGAATTTGAGTGAGAATTCTGAAGAAGAAAGAAAGCGGTATAAGTTTGCACATGAACGCTTAAGGGTAAGAATTTCTCTTTTGGGTGTCGTGAGTGGTTCTTTTCAATTTGATTACCACGTTTGTATTCTCTATTTTGATATAAAAAATATTTAAAAAGAAAAAAACCCTTCAATACCTATTTCATGTTCTTAATTATGATCCTATTTGAAGCTCTGAAAAGTCAAAAGAATTTAAGTTGCAAAGTGATCATAGATTTTCTAAGCACAAATTTTAGAATTTTTAGATTCGTAGTCCCTTCTTTCGTCCTTGTTTTATTACATTACAAAGCTTGTTTTTCAAAATCTTTTAGGATTTAAGAGTGATTCATAGCTTTAAATCGAGTATTTACTCGAGGATTGTCAATGAGATTTGACCGGTCAAAACATGTTCAAAAAGTTGCCTTTGAATCCATGTAAAACTGTGTAGTTTTTCTGCACGTACTTGTTTTAACTCATGATTTCTCTCACTCCAAAGTTCGGTTTTTAACATAAGTTATATCGTTGAAAAGATGGTTCTTCATGCTTTCAAACGGGTATAAATTCATAAATTTTCATTGAGATTTGATTAGGCAAAAAGCTGCTTGTTTTATGTCCACAAAACTAGAATAAAGTTCAATTTTCTGCAGTTTCTCTTTGGTAGAGATGATGAACAGTGATTATATATTACAATATTCTTAGTTTTGGTTTGTTTGTCATGTTCCTTTACTCTGACATTCAGCTATAGACTCGACGGCGCAAGAGCTCAGGAAAGCTAAGGAAAGAGATTTTAGCTTGCTTGGAGTCGAGGTAAGGGATTTAGAGATTAATAATTGAGTAGAACTTTATGAGTAAATTATTTACTTATTTTGATAAAGTTTATATGCTTATGTT